CGATTTCGCTATTTTCTGTTTGTCGAAAACGTCATCGAATGGCAGCCTCAGTAGATTGCACTAATGGAGCGAGTTTTCGCGTTTTAAATTTTCCTTGACAGAAATTTGCTGCATACACTTGAAGAATCGACCATCTTGATAACAACCCGGAGCTTTTTCTAATGCATCATCAACTTCCCTTTGTTGAAAATGCTAGGTTCTAGGGACTCGTCTTTGAAAGATCCCCGACGTGACACTATCACGTCCGTAGCTTGAAAACCGGATGTTCTCTCTCAACCTTCTACGCACGCTGAGTGCGACCTCATGGGGAAACAGATTGGCTTTATCTTCTGCGAGTCACTATAGCACTCCTTGGCTTAATATTAGAATTTGTAAGTTTAGTGTATCAGCCTCTTCCTCAATCCTTCTGCCGTTAATACTATCCACAATGCTGGCATCGACATACCGTACCAGTCGCATTGAGTGCCTCCTGACAGACGCTGCGAAACAACCTTTGAGTAGAGGACGCGAAACTGCTGGCAGCTTATGGTACGAAACTTTCAAGCCTCCCATATCATCCTACCCGTTCGCTAACCACCATTCACAGTATGCTCTGATGCCATCACTGCCTAAACCTTCTAGTATCAGTTCCAGATACTGCTGGAGAACCTAAACATTTACCTCTTTTCTCATCTAAATCTCTTACGCAACGCTATCCCTGCGTGGAAATCTCTATATTCCATCGTAGATCGAAATCTATTCAACCTCACCAAACGTAACAGTCCTCCGTTGACTGTTACACTCCATGAACTTGCATTTACACCGATGGCTCTACCATTGATTCCTTGGCCCTTGTATACTATTACAGAACCACTACTCTTTCATTCCGGCTTCACACATTCTGGTGTGTATTCTCTGCTGAGAAGTTCGATACATTCCAGGCCCTGAAATTCATTGAATCAGGTTTTTCTCGGCGAGTAATGATATGCAGTGATTCCCTGATTGCACTTCAATTTTGTGAACTAGTTCTCTCTTGACCACTAGGCTACAATCCGTCCGTTATCAGCCTATTTCGCTTGACAGTTTTTTTTCCAAAACTTTTAGAAGTTTTTGGGTACGGATGGAAACCATTCTCAGTAAACACTAATCATTTACAGATTTCCAGCATGGATTTAGAAAATAAAAATCTATGAAAACAGTCATAATTTCTTTTCTTAAATACATTGCTTCATTAATGTATCAAAATTATACATCTACTGGAATATTTTACATATTTCAAAAGGTCTTTTTCACTTTCCGGTGTACGTACTTACTAGCAAAATCTGGCGTAGCTGTAATCTATTTTAAAAAAAGCTTTATGTGTTGCAAGTTTCTTTCATACTTCACTTCTTTCACGCCCAGCTTTGTTTAAATGTGTTCTTCCAGTATCCGGCATTGGACTTCCCAATGAATCGTAGTAGCTGATAATGTTATACTCCCGTTATAAGTTCCTAACACCCAATGGGTGACCCTTGTGAGTTACCTCCATACGGGATATGAACTGATATAGCAATTTCAACATTATAAACGCCGTAACAAATACTTGCAGGTTTTGATGCTAATATTTAAATTTTATTTCGATATTTTTGAAAAAGCTTAGTTCGATTTTTTGGCAATATGCAGAAAAATGCACATAGCACATTTGCATGAGTACAAATACTAAAATACAGCCGCGTCGAATGACGACTCGATTAGGGCACGAGAAGTGGTCTAGACCCCAGTGACGGAATAGCAAAAACACACATCTGCACGTCCATATACGCCAGACCTCTACTGAAATACTGTATAATGATATATATGCTGCAGAAAATCGATTTCGAGCTTTCAACGGACAATCGTTTTGGCGTCCACTGATACCGAAAAAGTGTTATTTACAAAACGTCCGTCTGAATGTGAACACTAGCATCTAAACCATACGTAGGATGTTTTCCAAATTGAAGAAACCAGTCCATCTGACTCGAGTCGAAACTTTGAGATTTTGAAAAACATTCTTCAAAATTTCGGGGTACTTTACATGACGTGCTCTAAACATTTTCAAAAATTTCAAAAGTAATTTTCAAATGCACTTTTCGGTGTCTTCTTACAACTACAAAATTAAAAATAGATTTTTTCTTCATAGTGCGTCACTTTATTAAGAAGATGTACATTATTTTAGCTTTATTCGTTTTTCTCAAAATTTACAAAAAAGTAAATTTTTTACGATCTCTCGCGTCGTTAATATTTATACTAGCGACAAATTGTTCACTTCATTGTATTTATAAGTAAATGTGCTTTAAATAATGTCAGATAATGCTTCTCGAAAACTCAACCATTTTCTGTGACAACTACCTCAAAATTCCGCATTTTCAGAAACGGTCAAACGTCATTTTCTCAAACAACCCTCCAAATTTCTTCTTCAAACATTTCGAACGAATAGTGCTAATTGCACTATTATATATGACAAAGGTAATTTCGGTGTAATTGTTGGTTTTCCAAAAATTACACAAACGTAATTTTTTTAAAAGATATTCCACGCCCTTGACATGTACATGACCAGCAACTTGTAAACTCTATTGTATTTGTGAGTTAAAGTAATGACTTCACGTGAAGTATTTCGATAACTCAAAAATTTTCCGTGAAAAAGTGATTCAGTTTTCCATTATACTATAGCGCTTAAGTGTTATTTTCTTCAAGACGGCTCCAAAATTTTCAAAGAAAATTGCCACTTAGGACAAGGTTTTACTGATCTTAAATAATTATAAAATCATATTTTCAATGTACAAGTAGGAAATCGAAAAATTAAGAAAATTTGACAAAAATGAACTTTGGGCGGAAATGGCAGCTGGTAAGAGTATGGGCAAGTCCGAGACCAAAGGAAAAATAAAACTAATACGGGAAAGTCTGTGGCATCATGTCACACCACTTATTAGATCTTCCGAACTTGGCAGGCACATCGCCACTTTATAGATTCCTAGTGCTCAATCTTGTTGGTTCTGTCGCCCGGTGCACGTTCAACAATCGTTTTCGCTCCTTGGTGTGCATGGAATACTAGAAGTGTATAGTGTTCACAAATGTGTTTATTTAAAAAGAATATAGCGCCATGTTTGGAAACATAACTTCATTTAGAAAATTGAAACAAACTAATCTTGTATCAACACACACTACAATTGTATCTACTACATTATATTACATTATATGTGCCTCTGCGATACGGTCCATTATTCCTAGCACTTGCTAAAAATAAATAAATAAAAACCTATTTATCTGCCTCATCTTCCACACAATTCTCAGTACCAAATACATCACCCTCCGAACTCAATACAACACACCTCCACTCACAGCACACATCACTCTTACAATACATGTTCCATAAATCCCGCAATACAGTGCATCAGCACAACCCCAGCTGTGCTCACTTTGTCTAGCCTCACCAACCCCCCACGGCACACCCGCCAGAAATTCCGTTAGGTATACTTAATTCGTTCCAACCTAACCGTACATATCGACAACAGGAACGCTGACAAGAATAACAATCATGTCGCTAACCTAAACAAAATAATATTTCAAAATATCCTTATACCCTTAACTAAACATTTCTACTTCTCTTGTGTAACCTCAACAAAATATACTTTCTAAAAACCTTATTTGACACGATGGTCGAAACATCGACAGCAGAGCACTTGTTAAAATGTTGTTTTAACCTCAGCTTCAGAAACCGCATTGCCAAATTTAAATAAAAGCAAAATTTCCCCGCAGATAAGTCATGGACGAAGAAAGACTATTGTTACCGCATTGCGCCAAATTTTATTGAAATTACGTACCTAGCTTCATCCAATTATAAGTTCTCTTTAGTACAAATTCGGGGAAAGCTTCAGAATGTTTACACATCGCTCTGTGAGATCACTTATTTTCACTCTAAAATCCCATTCAAAATCAAAACTGGTGTTGCAACAAGATTGCACAGACTTTTTCGTATTAGTTTTATATTTTTTGTCTAGACTAGCTATTTTGACTTGCCCCTTGTCATCTATCGCCGCCTAAAGCAGATTCTTCTTTTAATTCTCTAAATTTTTTTGTTTCCTAATAGTAGAACCAAATCATTTTTTTCAGAATATTAAAACGTCGTTCTAAATAGCAATTTCAATTTAAAAAATTTAGAACCATTTTTAAGTTAAAAATTGGATTTAAGTGATAGTGAAACCTCTATTTACAGAAAACTTCTGTTTTTGAAAAACTTCATAAGAAGTCAATTAAAGCACTTCCAGTCACAAACGGAGTAGTGCTTACACATTGCTGGAAATGTGAATATTAAAGGTACTAATATATTTGGGTAATTTTTTAAAAGTACACAGAAAAATTAATGCTGTCATCTTAAACACTGCAATTTGCTCTACCAGTTGAAAAAGTTTGAATCACATGGCTCCAAATTCAATTCAAAATGGCAAATTGAAATCCAAATAATAGAGGGGGTTGAAGAGTAGACGGTACAGAAGAAGTCGAAGAGGGGGCTGTGCCCCCTGAAAACGGAAGGCCAGGCAGAGTCACAGAAAACAAGGAACTACAACTCTTGATTTACAATTATGAAATGAGACTGTTTTAATGAATTGTGTGATGAATTCAAGACTTGAAGAACTATCAATCTAAAGTAAATGACTGACCTTAGTTTTTTTTCTTCAGTAAAAAATCATGTGGAACCTCCTGATGGTACTAAAAGAGCATGAACAAAAATTGGCTGATAATGCCAAAGGAACAGAAACGGCCATTAAACAGCACCAAATGCAAATGTGGGTTTTGCAGGTAGAAAAAAAAATTACAAATGATGAACAAATGTAAATGAAAAATTATATACCAGACTCCTAATCAGTAGCATTGTGTATATTCTAAAATTACAATCCTATTTGAAGTAGTAGACAGCACGTGTAAATATTTGCCACTGCTCTATAAGTAGTTGTAGGGTTTATGCAATATAAATGACAGGATATGGGCCATAAATATGGATAACAAATTTATTCACTGAATTTCTACAAGAAGTTTGTCACCCTATCAGTTACTCTATTTCAAGATTTTGAAATATATTTGAAATTAAGAAATCATGATAGTCCAGATTTTAACCTTGAATATGTCCTGAAAAAGGCCCATGAATATTCAGTCAAAATTAGTTATTTTATGCGAGTTTAAGATAATAGGATTATCTCAAGCTCTATATGAATGTTTTTATATTAAAGTTGTTTCCAACTGATCAATATTTAAATCTAAGAATAGGATTTAAGAGGGAGTTCCTCTTCCTGCAAAGCAGGAAACATGTCAATAGGCTTCAATTGTAATGTTCTGTGAATATCTTAGCTTTACATAATAATTCCTTTGCAAGAGAACAACATATTAAAGGGAATGACAAAAGTTAAAAGAGAATATCCAATAATTATTGTATATAATTTTCGCTTATATGAAAAAACTTAAAGGGAAATAATACCAACTCTCAAATATGCAGGCCATCACATTATCATTGAGTATACAATGAAATTTAGCGTAACTCTGATATTGGCATTTGATGTAATTTCATATATGCAAAATAAAACTTTGGAGCTGGCATTATGGAATATGATTTTGCATAACAATCCAAGCCCAACCTCTTAACATTTATGTAATATAGACATACATAACAATGTTATACATACCTAGATATGTTTTGAACAGCATATCTAAAGTATATGGATCAGAAAAATCACTTGCAAGGCAAAAGTTTGAGAATTTAATTTGAAGAATTTTAATAGAAAAAAACTATGTAGTCATCTGTTCAATTTTTTTTTTTTTTTTGTTTATTAAGGTAAAATGAGTTTTAATAAAATGTCCTCTCCACCTTAGTCCTTCAGGATGATCAGCTTCGTCTGCTTCTACTTCTACTTCCTCCTCTTCTAAAGCATCATCGAATTCTTCCTCCGCTCTCTCAACAGCAATATTGTGAAGAATAGCTGAAGCTACAATAATTTTTAATGTGGTTGACACCTTAGTGCGCAACGTGTAGTGGAGACAGGGGAATCTCTTCTTCCAGCTGCCAAACACACTCTCTATAACATTTCTGGCACTTTTATGTGCCTCATTATACCTTCTCTCAGCAGGTGTCCTTTCATTTACAACAGGTGTCAGTAGGTACCTAAAACATGCATAACCATTGTCCCCAATTAGGTGCCCAGAGAAGGTGCCACTCTCTAACACCTCTTTTATTACTGAATTTCGAAAAATTCTACTGTCATGGCATGAGCCAGGCCACCTTGCCACAATATTTGTGATTTTCTTATCAGCGTCACAAATTACCTGGAAATACAAAATTCAAGTTTTCTCAATACAGCTGAAAAAGAAATCTCAATCAAATAAGACCTTGTTTTTAATTTTACCTGACAGTTGATTGAGTAGTATCTTTTTCTATTGCAGAATCTCTCAGCTTCCTCCTTCCTTGGACACATTATCCTGACATGGGTGCAATCTATTGCCCCAATGATCCCAGGAAAATTATCACTGCATTAACAGAATTTCATAATAAATTTATACACTTTCTTTCTTCTCCAACTGGAATGTCACATTACAAAGGAACATAGTTAACAGATTTTAAAAATATAGTATATAAAAATAATTAAATATATTATGAATATGGTGGTGATTTTCTTTTTGTGATAGGACTTCGGTGTCGAAATTGCATTTACCACAAATTAATTTCACAAAATTCATTTCAACTGTGTAGATTTTAAAGCCTGGGGATATTCATTTTATTTTTGATAATAACTCTAATTCTTTAAAACATATGTAAAAGTGAAAACAATTTTGTTGATAATAGTATTGAAAGTGTGTAAGCAATGCAATAGTCTATGAAGAAACAATTCTTAGACAAATATATGCCTAGTGAACAAGATAGTAGGAAAAGGAAATAAGTGAAATAAAAAACACATTCGTTTTGCCCAAGTATGTCCTTCACGTAGGATGAGGAAGGAAAAACAAAAGTAAGTTTAATTTATATAATTATTTATTATTTATTAATTATTATTAATTATTTATTTAATACCATGATAGCTCTAAGAAGCGTTGCTTCACTTTTGGGTGATCACGTCTATGGGGAAAATATATGTATTTGCACTTCCATGAACATATAATTTCGGAAACATCCCGTATTAAGCGGCAGACTTTACTTTCATGGATGCCCACTAGGTCTCCTATTACAAACTGGCATGCTCCAGTGGCGTAAAATCTGTGAAAAGAGGCCAAACAATCGATTTCTTTTCATGTGATTTTATTAAATTCATCATATTGGTAATGTACATAACTCACACCATACAAGTTTCATGCTTTCGTTTGTAATGTTGGGTGGCTGGTTATCTACATCCGCATTGAATTCGCGTGTAAAAATATAGAAAATGCATGTAAAACGGCAGTTACTAACCTCAAAACTACCAGGAGCTGAAGCATCACTGGTAACCCCAACCCTCTTCTGTCCTGGTGATCTAGGTTAGGTCGCAACATATCTGCCAAGTAAATCGTCGTTTCTTTTGAAAAACGATACCTTCTTCGAAACTCACTTTCGGTAAAATTTTCGAGGGGGTTGCTACGATCCCGCAAGACCCTCGATCGTGGGTGCAGAGCCCTAAAGAGATGTACTCTCCTTCGAAACTCCTTAAATCGCTGAAAGTACTCCATTTTCTCCAGGACCGGTTCACTGGTTCATCAATGACTTTTTCACTCACTTCGGTCACGTCCAAGCTATTAAATTAATAGTATTAATTCAGCCGCGCTTTCAGTGCACTCAGAACGCCGAGCGCAAAACGTAAATTCGGGAGCGTTCACATCGATCGTCGTCGATAGTCTGAACGATGCGTATATGTTAGCGCTCACGGCGTCCAGTGCCGTAAACCAGAGAGTACAGGGCATCCAGGGCGACGCCTTCCTGAGAAGGCATGTCACACGAAGGCGCCGTTCAGGGCCGTAACTATGTGGACGTACGCGTCTGTAACGTCACAATACTTTTTCAAAACTTTACATTAGGTCAAAACTATTTTCCTCGTCCTCGAATCCGATAACGTTTCCCAAAATATATTTTATTCCTTCGTAAATTAAAAGTTGTTTTATTTTATTGTCCCTGAAAAAATTGTAATGCAATTGAACAGGTAGCAAATATTTTTCTCAAATACCCTTCTAGCAATTCCGCCATTTAATGTTCCTGTTCATGGACATCTGATTAATTACGTGAACGACAGGAATGGATTCAGGGTCTGGATTCCGAGACAAAGGAAGATAGCCCTGCGCCATGATGTGAGATTCAAGCATGAAGTTGTCTGCAATGTGCGCATCATTACCAACTAGCTTGAAGATTCATGTGCAAAACTCGCATCATTCGATCTACAAAAGCAGGAAGAAGTCAACGACGATGAAAAGGAAGAAGAATGGAGTGAAGCTGAAGAAGTTGCACCAGTGTTCAGTTCCGGAAGTTGTGATGTTCCAGCCAAAGAAGAGACAAGAAGAAAAAGGAAACGCGAATCGAAGAAACCATTGTGGATGACCAGCAGAGATTTTGTCTAGGTAGCTGGATCGTCAATCACTGAAAATAAGAATCCACATTCCTACACTGAAGTGCTGCAGTCTCCTGACAGAAGAGTGGTTGAAAGCACATAAAGAAGAATTGGATTCTTTAGAGAAAAATGATACTTGGGTGTTGGTCAAACACAAAAGATGTACAAATCTTGAAGGATCGCTGGGTTTTTATCCAAAAACTATTAGTAGTGGAAAATCCGCTTCAAAGCTCGATTGGTTGCAAATGGTTTCGTGCAGAAAGGGAATTGATTATGAAGAGACATTCAGTCCTGTTGCACGATATGAAATCAGTCGGCTCTTGTGGACGGTGGCTGCTGCAGTTGGAATGAAGCTCGCTCATTTTGATGACAAAACCGCTTTTATGAACGGCGTGCTTGAAGAAGTCGTGTATATGGAACAACCGGAGGGTGTTGAGGATAATACTGAACGAGCGTGTTACGTGAAGAAAAGTTTGTATGGTTTGAAACAAGCGCCGAGCTGCTGGAACAAACGATTTGAGAAGTTTATAAAGAAAGCTGGATTCAAAAACAGTAGTGTTTATCCATGTTTGTTCTACAGCAAGAGAGATGGGAAACATGTGTATGTTATAAAATTTGTGGATGTCGGATTGGTTATTACAACTGAAACAGAAGAACTCGAGGAATTCTTGGACATAAAACAGCAGGAATTTCATACAAGATGGTCTCTCAGAAACTTATTGGGCACGAGAATACAGCAAAATGAAGATGTATCAATAACATTTGATTGAGGAGACTACACACGAAAAGCTTTGGATATATTTGTAATGGCTGAGTCGGAGTGACTACCCCAATTGGACACGAGCACAATGATAAGGAGAAGAGGTCACAGCCAAGGTTCCTTATTGTGAATCAGTGGTTTCTTTTATGTACCTGGCTACAGCTACACCTCCTGATGTTGTTATTGCAGTTAATAAATCAGCTCGGGCCATGAAAAATCCTACAAATCAAAATTGGAATCAAGTGAAATGAATTATTCGATATTTGAAGAGCACCTTAAACTATGGAATCGTCTTCAAGAAGGGACAAGGTTTCAAGGTCTACAGTGATGCTGACTACGCCGGTGACATGAAGACAATTCATTCGTTCAACGACAGGTGCCATTGCAACCTTCAGAGATGGAGCAGTATCGTGGACCAGTCAGTTGCAGAAGTCCGTGGCAACGTCGACTACAGAAGCTGAAATAATACCAGCAAGCGAAGGAGCAAAGAATTTAATCTGGCTGAAAAGATTACTAACTGAATTGCTGGCAACTGGAAAAATCTCCTACGATATTCATCTTGCGGTAAAACTAACTAAAAATCTAGAATATCATGGCAAATCAATGCACATCGAGTTCGCCATTTCTATGTAAGAGATTCTTAGATGGGGATCTAAAAATTGGTGCACATCAACGGAAACAATCAGCCTGCTTATCTATTGACTAAACCTTAGTAGAGGGTTAGATTTGAGATGCTACATGAGATTGCATCCACACAGCATTTAATATAGTTTATTGTGTGTAGTTTGTCTTCATTTGATTTTTTTCTTTTGGAGAAACTGTTAATTTGAAAATAATGAAAAAACAGTAACGCCCTCTGTGTACGTTTCTTAGAACTTTTTGAACTAAGAACTAGTTGGGTTGATCTGTCGAGGCAGTGCGTGCTCGGGCGTGCATCGTTACGGACGTTTATGAAAACTTTTACTTTGTATATTCAAGATAAGTAATAAAATAACGTTTATACAAATTAATAAGGGAAAGTTAAGAAATGCTGCGCGAAAAAGTTTCAAATTTCCGACAGAAAAAATAATTGCCGAGCCCTGATAACAAAAAAGGATAAATGCAGTCGCTAAATTGAGAAAAAATCCCCCTAACGTTGTGTGGTCATAATCCCTGTTTTGATGGTCCTTGATACCGCAAAATAGATTGACGACAAAACGTTTGTTCGTCCATCTGGTGTATGTGAACAACAATGGCTCCTGAACTGGGGGTACGATTTTCATGTTCGAAGATAACGTAAACGCCACATTGTTCTATTATTTTATTTTTCCAAAAAATACAAAAATGTATTGTAATTTTTTGAATTGTTTCTCAAGTCGTTAATATTTACATCAGCGGCAATTTGTTCACATTACTGTATTTATGAGTACATGTGCTTTAAATAATGTCACACACATACTCTCTACAACTCAAGTTTCTGTTAAAATGAGCTCAAATTCCGCTCTTTTCAGAAACACTCAAACGACATTTTCTAAAAAAATATAAAAAACGGTTCCAAATTTTGTCTTCAAATTTTTTTGTCAATGGATAGTGAAATTGCACTGTTTAAGATGACATAGAACTAATTTTCCTGTATTCTTTTATTTTTGTCTTCAAAATATACACAAATGTATTTATTTAAATATCTCTAACGCCTGTAATATTCACATTTCCGAATTGTAAATGCTGTTGCATTTGTGACTATAAGTGCTTTAAATTACTTCATATGATTTTATCGAAAAGTGAACAGTTTAACGTTAAAAGAGGTTCAAGTTTCGTATTCACAGTAACGCTTAACACCATTTCCCAAAAAATTTGCAACCCAAATTTTTCAAAGAAAAGTGCCATTTAGAATGAGGTTGTTCTGTTCTTTAATATTCTTGAAGTAATAATTCGATTCTACTATAAAAAACGAGTAAATGAGAAAATTTCAAGAAATGTTATTTGGGCGGCGCTTGATGGCAGCTGGCAAGAGTATGTGGCAAGTCCGAATAGCTAGTCGAGACTAAAAGAAATAGAAAACTAATACGGGAGAGTCTGTGCCTTTCTCTGACACCACTGTTCTTTTATTCAATACACAGTAATGTTTATAGGGAGCAGATGATATTAAATGGTATATAACATACCTCACCAGGCATTCTGAGCAGTAATTTATAAAAAAAAAACTGCTGCGAAATTCATCGCAAACGGAAATACTGGCTGGTACTTTCACATGTAGTGTAATTGTAGCATCATTTACACATTTCTAGACCGAGGAACTTCATGCAATTTAACACTTTTACCAAGTGGCGACAGGTGCGCCAACAGACTAGACCTACATGAAATGAAGGAAATGTAGTCATAATTTAAAAAATTTAAAATAAGAATATATGAATGGGTGAAAAACAGAACGGTATGAGTGACATTTTATAAATTCTGTGAAATCTGTTTATTTAAGTCAATATTAGTCGTAGTATAAAAGTCTTAATTCTTTGTTTCATCATTAACACCTTGAAATAATCTCCACAAACATGTAACCTAAAATAAACACATTTTCTCGGAATTTATAAAATGTTACTTATATCGTTCTGGTTTTCACTCATAATATAAAAATGTAAGCAATTCAATAAAATTAACTGAATCTAAGTTGAATAAAAAATATGCTGAAACATTACTTACATAATTTTATGCGTCGATTTCGTGTAAGGTATATACACATCCAGCGCACGTGATTCTGGCTTTGATTTGCACTAGGCACGACTCCAGCACATTGCAACAAGCTCTATTGCTTCGACACGTTTCACACAAATAGAATACAATTGCAGTGTTTACCTCAGTTAATCAAATAAATCGATTGAACCTTACATTAAAATTGTAAAATCTAAATACCCGATAAACAGACTAGCCATAGTAGCTGAGGAAAGTAATGTAAGAATAAGGAATTAACTAAAACCACTAAAAGTCGTGAAATAATTAAAACAAAACGAATAGATGTAAAATTATGTAAATAATTGCGCAAGTCACTCGAAATAATGCAAATGAATATAGGTACACTGTTAAAATATTCGCTGAATCTCCGGAAGTCATTTATTTTGTTGTAAACATAAATCATAACAAGTCACTATTCGCATTATTGTGATCTATCTATCTATCTATCTATCTATCTATCTATCTATCTATCTATCTATCTATCTATCTACCTATCTATCGACCTATCTATCTACCTATCTATCTATATATTGTGGCGGTACGGTATTATTTAAATAAATAAAATAAAATAAAGTAGAACTTAAGGAAGAGTATGTACTGAGGAAGGACCCACGGCGTCACGCGCACGCCCCCTCTTGCGACAGCCACGACCCTTCTGACTCACTTCGATAATTTATGACACCCCGACGGCCGGAGAAAAGGGTGAGTTGTCAGGCGTTCCGCTGCGACCCCGTCCGGAACGTTTTCGCGACGCTTGTCACCGATACCGGGGAAGTACAAAATAATAATTCATTATTAGCCGGGAAGTCCCTACAGAGACGTGGCCTACTTTCTAGTCGACAACGGACACGTTCCGAACAACAGAGAACGACAGGATGGAGGGACGGAGAGAGAGAATGGAAAATTTCCAAGATCTGCCGGATCTTATTTGCCGAAATCTGAGTAAGACACCATAACCTTTGGCCAATCGTGACTAGACCGTCAAAGGGAATTCGAAACATACGAGGAGAGAGGGTGTAGGAATGAAAATGAACCTCGCACTGACGGGGACACAAATCGGGACTTGACGAGAGGCATCCTCGAAGAGAGGAGAGCGCATCTCTGAGGAGAGAGGCGGGCACTCACTAGACGTTTCTCGAGGAGAAGAATGTGTTTTGTGTTATGTGTTTTGAAAAGCAAGTTATGTGTTTTGAAAAGCATGTGCCTCTGGTATGCGGTACAAATCCCAGATCAGTGGTTTCAGGAGTTACCTTTATTTTTTTTACTTTTTCGTATACAGACGTATATACGGAGTAATATAATACATAGTACACGCAAAGTTATGTAATGCTGCGGAAAATGGATTTCGAGATTTTCTCGCAAATGCACGTTTTGGGGTCCCCTAATACTGAAAAAGTGTTTTTTTCAAAACGTTCGATTGTCCGTCTGTGAACACTGCTAGCACCTAAATCATATGTAGGATTTCTCTAAATGAAAGAATCCAGTATCAATCTGGCTTGAGTCGAATTTTTGAGAATTTGAAAAAGTCTTTAAAATTTGGGGGGAACTTTACATGATGCCCTCCGGACATTTTTAAAATTTTCTCAAAAACGGCTCCAAATTTTTTCTTTCGATCTCTTGTAAGAATAGAGTAAAATACACTTATAAATGTGACATAGGTCCGATTTTCAGGTTTAAGTCCAAATTTTCTAATATTTCAACAATTTTTGGCCATCTTCTTACAACTACAAAATTAAAGATTTTTCCTTCATTTAAAATTGTTCTTCATAGTGCGTTCTTTCATTAAAATCATTTACATAAAAAATTGTAGTAGTTTTCGCGGGATATTGCGAGCAATATGTGCAATTCTCAAAAACGGCTCCAAATTTTTTCTTTAAACCTTTGGTAGGGATAGTGTTAAATGTACTCTATAAGATGACAAAGACCCCATATTTCTCTATTCTTTTGCTTTTTCGCAAAATTACAAAAAATTAATTATTTTTTTACTTGTCTCTCACGTTGTTAATAGCGGCTTTTATCATCGTTATATTAGCGGCTATTCGTTCACATTATTATATTTATGAATACATGTTCTATAAATCATGCCAAGTGAAATTTGTCGAAAACTCAACCGTTTTCTGTGAAAACTAGCCCAAATGTCTGCTTTTTGTTTATAAATTACTCCAATTTTTTTCTTCATACTTTTCGAACGGATAGTGGTAATTGCATTCTTTAATATGACTTAAAGTTCATTTTGGAGTATTTTTTTTTTCTTCAGAAATTACACAAATGTAATTTATTTGAAAGATCTTTCACACCGGTGATATGCACATATCCAGCGATTTGTAAACACTATTGTATTTGTGAGTTAAAGTGCTTCAAATTACATCAGCTTAATTCGAGCAACGTTTAAACGCCAGATCTATAAAAACAACTCCAATTTTTTCAAGAGTGCGTATATTTCGCGCAAATTGACGCGAACAGTACTCAAAACTGTGCCAAATCTTATTTCAAAACCTGTCTGTAAGGAACAGATTTCGTTAGGGAAAAAATCCCTATGAATCATTCATTTAATTATGGATAAAATCTTGGGTTCATTCGTGGTAAGACATTGAGAGCAAAGTGCCAGTCTAGTACTAAATATCCACAGGACGTCTGTGGTCTATGGACATACCTTTTATTTCAAGCGCCCCCTTCCATTCACGTGAAAGTTTGACAAACTAGCCCTTTGGGGGTAGCACTATCGCAGAACAATACACAGAATAACGAGTTGCAGTAAAATTTTTCTCGGTGGATAAGTCCTGGAAATGGGTGATGATGGTGTTAATCTAACCTAGGTGGCCATTTATAATAATACGTGCGACCTTCACAAATTATATAATGCTGCATGTGGAGATGGCGGTGTAGATATTATCATTAATACAGCAGATTCTGACACGGCCGCAACTTTTAAAAGTTTTGTAAACTGTGTAATACCTCAACTGTGTGAATGCTCAGACAAGTGTTCGTTTTTTTAAATCGTATTAGGGCGAGATTACATCGCAGAAGTGCTATTTTCACGTAATGTTTGCAACATGTAAAAGATCAATTTTTCTTCCTGGTCGTTTAAAGTTTTCGTTGTCATCGGCTGATCTGGGGAAGTCGTACTATGACACTCTTGGTGTTACCCCTCACGCCACCCAAAATGACATTAAAGCAGCTTACTACAAATTGTCAATGATGTATCATCCTGATAAAAATAAAGGCAGCGAAGAGGCCAGTCAGAAGTTTCGAGATATTACAGAGGCGTATGAAATATTGGGTAACTTTCGCTTGAAGAAGTTGTATGATAAAGGGCTTCTTTCCCCAGATGGGTCGCAATATGGTAGAACCAGTACTGATCCAATGCCTGAAGATGATGAACAAACAAAATTTTACAAGTCCAGGTTTACACGGGATAAACCACCTACTACAGGTAGAACACCAATTTATAATTTTGATGAATGGTCTCATGCTCATTATGGTGATGCATTTGCCAGACGAGCTGCAGCGAAAGAAAGATTCGAGCAGAAAAAAATGGATAAGCTGAGGCAAGAAAAGGAAGTAGAAAATGAATTTGTCGTTTTGGGGGTTTTACTTTTTGTACTTAGTTTTTTTGCATTTACTCGTATTACAAATGATAGCAATGATATTAGTGGAAAAGAATTTGATGGCAATGAGGTTGAAAAGTAATATGAATTAGGAATAGGTTCTTTTTCTCTTTAAATTATGACTTTCAAATTCTTATCTTTTGGAACGGGTAGATCACAAATATATTGTTGTACCATCTGACATCGTATTTGGCATAAAAACCCTAGAAAACTGTGATTACAGATGTGCAGGACACACTGTACTTTTAACATTGTTATAACATTGTATTTATTGAATGCTTGTGCACCACCATGAAAATGTATATTATTTGTGGCTTTGAGATGATCTAGCTGAAATAAAATTGTTGCTTTGTTTATGGATTTTTAAATCCACTGAATGTTCTTGGCAAATTCCTTTTACTTCATAATACTTGTCTGTTGTTTTATTCATTTGTTTGTCTTTAAACTCAAGTATTGGGTATAACACTGATAATCTAAAGTATATTATTGGTGTTACTTGGATTAATTTTCACTCAACTTTCATATTAAGTTTAATGGATGTTGAATCATCTTAAGATTGTGGAAATCAACAATTTATGTACATGGAAAGATGTAATTTATTTATTTATTTACGCCAATCGGCTTTATAATAATAATTTCATAATCTTGTATTTTACATAGTTTTGCACCTTTTTCTGAAATTTTGTCAAATTAACAATTATCTCAACTTGGAAGGGAATAAGAATATTAACATTTTCTTTATCATAAGTATTGTGTGAAAATGTTAACAATAATAGCATGTCAATAAGGATTTGAGAAAAAAAACATTTGAAATATTTTAAATATCAATTCTGGGGTGTTCTTAGACCCAATGATCTCTGTTGCAGTAATCTGTCTCTTATTTCCCAATAATGTATTCCTTGGTTGACTTTTGTTGTTTTTCTTTGTACTCCATGGGCTGGTTTGGTAGGTGTATTCCATTCTCTTAATGTGGTGTTGCCATTTCTTATAACATTTTACTAAATCTTGGATGATAATTTTTTTTTTTAAGTTTTTTGTGAATTTTTTATTTTGTCTCTGTGTGCACTTAATACTGGCTTGAGTATATCATTTAAGTTGCTTTAATTTCCATATCAAACTGCTGCAGGGTGATGGTTTCACAATAATGTCATTTTTCAAAAATTGTAATTTATTTTAGGTCAGAAATAGTTCAAAACTGTGTGTAATATGCTGAGGGGTGAAGTGAATTCTGTGATCCCTACCCTAAACCTTATACCAGTTGAATTCTAAATACAGAAAGAAAGAAAGAAAAAGGAAAAAAAAGAAAGGGGAAAAAAAAAAAAAAAAAAGGTAGGAAATAGTGTTTCTGGTAAGAATTGTTAACAAAATATTCACTCCGAAGTAATAAAATCTATTTTCAAGGGTAAATTGGCTGCACTTTTGGGTCTTATCCCTCATTCTTTGTGAAGGAATAATACTTCCTGCTGCAATATGGAGAACGATAATTTGAATAACTAAATTTTTCCTATTGATTTCTAGAAGACGTTCACAGATAATAGTTGCATACATGCCCAGAAGTATAACAAGGGGTCATATCAGACTTTTGCTCAAAGGATCAGGGAAACTGGATCTGGAAATCCTGATCAAGATGGGGGTCATTGAGACGTGGGCATTTAGCAGCATGCACATTCATACTGCTAAATACCCATTTTGTTGTCAAGTGAAGTCCCAGTTATCAAGGGATAGAGGATTGAAATAAATGTTTCCATCTGGATAGATTAACTTTATAATTATAGTGAAAATAGAAAAGAATTGAGTTTGGCATACACCATATTTTGGCAATAGTATATTTGCTAAATATGTTACAAATTGCATTAAATCTACTACATATCCTTACATTAATTAGAAGGTACAGTGTAACTCGTTATTTTTAAGAATGAAGGTAATGGGTTAAATAGTTTCTCAGAAATCCAACTACATAAACAATTCCAAAATAAATTTCCAATTTTATGGATCATAAAATATGTTGTATTTACACCACTATTTACAGTTCTTATAGAAAATGGGCCAATTGAAAAAATGAAATACAATTCTGTTGAATAGATGTATCCCCATTTCAGAATTAAGGAAGAGAAGTGTATATTCATTCTTATTCCAGCATTTTACAGAAAAAAACTTTTTTGTACAACTGCAGAAAATCAGTAATTGGCAATCGTTTGTTACAGTACAATATTTTCATACTACATGATCTTCTAAAATGTAAATAGATAAATATACTTTAGTTGCCACAGATTTACATGGGGAAATTGTTAACAGGCATTTCACAATTCCTTTGCATCCCACTATTCATGTAAAATAAACTATCAGGAAATATATAAACTATGTTTCGGAAACTGCACAAACTATTTTCTCAAAGCTGAACAAATACAGATAGTTTACTGTATTCCTGATCATGCCATTATTTTTCTTCATCTTTCATAAAACTACCTCTCACTTGGGACACAGAATGCAGACACAAATTGCATATACTATGTATTCCTGCCATTGCAGAACAAGTCTTTCAAGATTTATGTAACTGAACATGCTGAAAATAAAAAAAATCTACTTTACATTTTTCATCTGATTTCCACATTTTAATGTGGCACATTCCAGCTCATCATTACATGGCAATACAATGCTGCCTGCACAGGTATATCAATATTTAATTGAAAATATATATGTAGTATTATGTAAAAAGCAATAATTTTCTTGCACCACTTTTTCCCAGAACAGTCTTCGATGCAACGAGGTAATTACCATCTCGTTCTATTAAAACAATGACACATTGTAGTAAAACACATGGTAACATCAAATTATTCTATAATAACTGCATACATGTCACTTGCCCACTATGAATATTGTCAATAAAATATATGCACTATATGTAGCACTTCAACATTCTCTATAAAAACTCATTGCATATATTTCTAATCTTTTTTTAAGTCCTTGTGAGTATTCCAATTGCAAAGACATGCAATTCTGAATATGTATCATTGGAATAAGTGTTGATATGGAAGTGAAAATAAATGGAGTAAACCAAAACCCAAAAGCACTTTTTGTGTTATCTGTCTGACAACACTGTCAGACCCAGAAAAAAATGAGGGATTTTTACATTTCATGGCTGAAGTGCACATATGCCCTATGAAAGAAAACAAATATTGAGCACCTCTGCAGAACTGGTAAAAAATATTGTTCTTCATTCATGCAAGTAAAACTTGTCAATACACATTTGCTCTGTATGGGCCAGGCATGGGCATAGGCATATTAATTCCACCCACAGGGTAAGGAGTTGCACCAGCACTACCAGCAACTGGAGGAAGCGGATAAAATGAAGGAGAATTGAAATGGGACAACACTTGTGATGAGGAAGTAGAACTGCGTGACAGCACATTTGGAGATCGACTCCTTTCAGCTAGTAGCTCTGTCATTTTGTCAGCTTTCACTCGCCGTAAATGCATTAATTTTCTTCTAGCAGAAAATTGCTCTAAAAATCCATCAATTTCTAAATCACCTTCTAAGAATTTTTCTGCAATAGCCTGAGAAATTTCAAGTTCCATAAGAAAATTAGTTTCAAAACACAAATCCTAATATATACCAAGTTTAGTATGCCATAATTATGGGGCGGATTTTGGTGACCTAAAACATTGCCAAAAATGATCTCTAAAATGCTCTTAAAATACTTCAATAATGTCCTAAAAGCAAAGAAAAATTACGATAAAAAAAGTGATCAAAACCAATTCGGGTGAACAACCCAAGCTCTTGGATACATTACTAATGTAATTGAGGCTGCTTCTAGTTGTTCACGTGAACTCGGCTTGCAAACTTTCGGATTCTACTCTTCTTTACCAGGAAATCTCTGTCTTTAGTTATCCCAACAATGGTGCTGACGAGCATCACAAGAAACTTGGATTACATTCTTACAACGGCTAACAACAATTTGTGAGTGAAGAAATAGAACAGGCTACTTAGGAATTCTATGGAAAAAAATTGGTTGCTTCTCGTAAATATTATTTGAAGCAAGTACAATTAAAATGAGATTAAAATTAATAAAATAAGCAAAAACGCAATACACATTATGGAAAAAAGTAAAAATGACTTATTAGTTGAAACCAATAATAAATGGAAATAAAACATAAAAATAGGTTGTTTCCTATCATCACAACATAAAATTAATTTATATACTAAATGGCTCATTGTTCTAAATTAAAAAGAAAAAAGTGACATTTCATTAAAATCCGCCCCATACTCATGATATATTGTAACAAACCTCAGACTCTTCTTCTGATTCAGCAGCTGATGTCTGCAATAAAGCCAATGTAGTATCCAAAGACAAATCTGCTGTTTTAGATCCTGAAAAATGAAAAAGAGTGAGAGAAATCCTATTTGCATTTCAAAATCAATTTTTTGTTAATTTGTATAAAGATTGAGCTTATTTTATGCACACTATTTACTTTGAATTGAAAGGCCATTGTTTATTTAGTTACATGAAGTCCTAAGACTAACATTATAGTAATTCTTAAAAAGAAAGAAAAGAAGAAAAATACCAAGTCTATTCATTCAATGATTAGACAATCATTAAATGAATAGAACAATAGAAAATAAAACAGAAAATTTCAAAGATGTGCACTTTATTAAATTGTAATTGGCATGTATACAAGTAAAACAATAAGATTACTAGATTTTGAAAACTGCACGTCATTTTTATGCAAAGAAAATTATTTGATCTTAGTTACCACTTTAAGCTTACACAATAAACAGTTTATAAGTAGAATTTTATTGTCATATGTACTACACTCTTGGTCAATTAAAAAACAAATGTTTTTGACAAACTTACTCAATTCTCCAATTTTACTCTCAACACTTTGACATAACTCTTCCCCTTTTGCACTCAAGTCTTGCAAACGTTGTTTGCCTTCTTGAAGTTGAGGTTCTTTGGCAAGGTTGAATTCTGCTAGGGACCTGTTACTAGCTATAATCATTTCCTTCTCAGTTTCCAAATCCTTAAACTGAATCCCCAAAAACAAACACAACAGCACGCTTTATCAAAATCCATCTTTTAAAACTAAATTTGAAATTGCAACACAAAATAAATTTCAAAACAGTACCTGTTTTATGTCTTTCATTAATTCTTCAAATTTTGTTTCATCGTTCAGTATATCTTTTAATTCGTCGCTACTCAGATGCGATATTATGCCCAGGGCTGCGGGATAGTCTGGTTCCGGGAAATTTGTGTACATTGTTACCGCAATTCACAAATAATTCAAAATACAAGTCGAAATGGCTCGAAAGACGCCAAAGAAAACTGATTTAACGCAAGTTTTTCACAGTCCTGCACAGTACCACAACGCACGTACGGAAAACGACTCACAATGATATTGATGGAATAATGAATCAGACTGAGATCTAAATGACGAAATCAAGAGCGCCAATGCACAAAGTATTCAACGTTCATTTCTTGCCTAGATATTTAAGTTGAAAATCACTTCTTTACTTTCTAAATTATAAGATTTACTTTACTATAATTTTAATTCTAGATATTTTGGCACGGTATATGTTCTTCAGTTGTTCTGTGACAGATATGTTTAAAATAACATCAGCTGATGGAAGTCATGGGAGGAGGTGGAGTTCGAAACCTCGAAGAACATACGAGACGAATTCAATGCAGTCGTGGTATTGTTTTTGTTAAGACTCTTTATAATAGTGTACGTTTTCTTTAATGTTCCCAAACTCTACGTGGACAGAATGACAATGTGCGAGACCTGTGCTTTTAAAAAGTGTTCAATCTTTGTGGTGAAGGGGGTTGATTTAATTATTGAAAATATTTAGTAATTGTTTCAATTGATTTGTTTTAATTAAGTTGGACAGCTATGCAGTCTCATGGATTACATTGTAAATCTCTCTTGTTTTTAAACTCCTCTTCCCGTAACACTTTCTTTCTCAGTTCTCTCTCATTCGTCCCAAAGCATAAACCAGTGACATCTGAGGACATAACATTGATGAAGTTATTCTTGTCATCAAACAGCAAAATTCTTGTGCTGACGGGAGCTGGTATTTCTACTGAAAGCGGTATTCCGGACTATCGTTCAGAAGGGGTAGGTTTATATGCTCGGAGTACCTCAAGGCCTATTCAATTTCAAGACTTCGTTAAAAGTCCGCAACTTCGAAAACGCTACTGGGCGAGAAATTATGTTGGATGGCCGCGATTTTCTTCTATTGTGCCCAACGTCACCCATTTTGCTTTGCGTAGGTTAGAAAGTGAAATGAGACTAAGCTCAATTGTAACTCAAAATGTGGACGAATTGCATCGAAAAGCTGGGTGCAAAAATGTTGTAGAATTACATGGTTCTGCGTACAGAGTTATTTGTTTGCATTGCCGTTACGAAGTTCACAGACACTTGTTTCAAGAAACTCTCAATAAGTTGAATCCTTCAATAAGCATCGTGTCCCAATCTGTAAGACCAGATGGTGATGTTGATCTTCCACAGGTAGAATACTGTGTAGTTTTGTTCTTGCTATAACTGTAATCACTAAGTATTAAAATTAACATTGGTGTGTTTCAGGATTTTGTTGAACAATTTGTGGTTCCAAACTGTCCTGATTGTAGTGGAATTTTGAAGCCAGATATTGTATTTTTTGGAGACAATGTACCAAGAGAACGTGTGGATTTGGTTAAAAATCTAGTGAATACTTCTGATGCTCTGTTGGTTTTGGGGTCTTCACTTTTTGTTTTTTCTGGATACAGATTTATTCTTCATGCAGCAGAACTTGAAAAACAAATTGCAATTGTTAACATTGGGGAAACTAGGGGTGACAAACATGCTCATCTTAAAATAGATAAAAAATGTGGGGAAATATTTTCAAACTTGTTTGAAAATGAATTGACTTGAAAATTAAATATAATTTGGAAGAAAATATTGTTGAGTGTTATGATAAGTTTGTCTTTTATCATTTCTGAAAAATACTTTTTTTTCCTTCCTTAGATTTCCTCTTTTGGTCCTCTTCTACTTCTTGCTGTCGTGGAGTTAACTGATCTAATTTCTGTTCGTATTTTGTGTAGAGCTGAAAAAAAAAGTATTTAAAAAAAATTAAAATAATCAGATTTTGTTGATTTTAATAAAATTATATTAGATATTTTTACTTTAAACCAAAATCGTTTAGTAATTTATTTGTACGTAAGCTTCCGCGGCTCGAATCCATGAATTCTCGGCTGTCCGGGAGACGCCGCGTCGTTGGCTGGGGTGCCGACGTTTCGCCGCGTTTAGTAATTTATGACGCGCGCGTTTAGTAATTTATTTATCGTTAATTACTTTAAAAGCAGAAAAAAGGTTATTAAAATCTCAGATTTTAAATTTATCATTAAATTATTGTAATTTAATTAAAAAAATAAGGACACTGTATATTTGAGGGGTAAACTCACAAAAACATTTATAAATTTGAGTTACTTATAGTTTCGTGCTCTTGAAACTCTTCTCTTGCATCCACATTATTGAATAAGCTTGTGGCACATCTATTAGCATGACAAAGGCATTTTTCGTTCAAAGAAGTTTACGTTTAAGTTAAAGTTTTGTTTGTGAAATACTGCCCGAATCAAAAAGCACTTATTGTTGAAACAAACTGAATTCCTTGAAAAACTAATAACGATATTAGCCAGTTTTTGAAATATTAAATTCTATTTAATAGTTGACCTGTTATCGAAAAGTATGGGGTACAATGGTACAAGTGCAAGCGCACTTTTCCATTAACCCTTTTACAGTCGGTGGGAAGTACTGTTTTCAATAAATTTAACAATATTAATTTTGTTCTTTAAATGAATAATAATAAAGTTCCATTTTTACTTTCTTACGTTTAAGAGGGACGTTCTTAAGAAGAGAAAGCTAGAAAAAAAATCCTCTTTCATGTAGTGTAGCCAGAATCCATGTTTTGTGGGTCCTTGATACCGAAAAATGGAATGACAGCAAAAATTTGGACTGTCCATCTGACCGTCTGTTAACGCGAATTTTGTTGTCGGATAGTAGGACATTTAAGAAAATGGTGCAGGTTTTATGTTGGTTAAAAACTGTGTTTTTACAAATAGGAACAAAAGCAACTTTTGTTTTAACGTCTTCCTGCAATGAAATATTAAAGAATAAAGTTTATTTCCCTTCATAAAATCTGCTCCTTACAGATAGATCTTGAAGCAAGTTTGCACACAATTTTTATTTTCTTTAAACCACTTTTTCTTAAAAACTGCACAAACATTTGTTGATTAAATTAGGAAATTGTATATCATAAAGGATGCTTCACAGAAGTTGCATGTCAAAACATGATGCAGGTCTCATGTTCATTGAAATGCACGATTTTGCGAAAATAAAAAAAAAAATTATATATATGCTGTGTGTTTTAGCACATGTGTGTTTTAGCAAATTGAATATGTGCTGTTTTAGCACCATGAATTATTAATACTCATGTTCTTTAAGATGTGGCTTTAGCAAACATTTTAATACAAATCTAGAATTATGGACACCATTGAAACTTTAAATGTATTTTGCTTGAAACTAGCTCAGTGTGTAGGATTAGGGCAGTACTGCTGCTAAATTAGTTTTTATGTGCAGACAAATACTGGATAAAAACTAATGGATCATCGTAGTATATTGGTATATAACTTTACAACAAATTGTTTGTTGTTCTTTGTTTCATAAGTTTGTTCTATTTATTGTAGATTATATTGTATTTTGTTTTCTCAAAATTGTTCAATTATGTGAAAAAGTTTATAAGAAACATAATATATTCTTACGTCAACTTTGTAATTGATTGAAGTCTTTTTATCTCAGTAATTTTTATTGTCAAAAATTTAAAATTCAAATATATTTTCAAATATTTAAAATAATAAATATTGATTTAAATCATTATTTTAAAATAATCATTTGATTTAAATCAAACCAGTCTTAATTTTGTGTAATTAATGCTTGTTATTTGTGTGATCCTGCTGTTCTTTTCTCTGCAATCTCACACGTACCTCCTGGAAAAAATTGTAATATCATTATTCCTTAAGTTTGAATCCTTGAATTTGTTTTTATGATTTTTTTTCATTTTTCATGAGTGTTTGCTTGTGCTTTACTATACAACAGTAGGTTTCACAGTTGATGAGTTAAGGGGCTGAATGTGCTTGTTTATATTTGTGTGATTGTGAATTATGTGGTGGAAACCCATTGTCTGAGTCTTCTTTCAGGATTTTTTTTTAGCAATTTGGGATGAAAAACTATATTATTTTGTGAAATATTTAGCAAAATAATGAATTTTTGTAGTTGGATCCTTGGAATAATTTTCAAGAGCAATTAATGAAGTTAATAATAACTGAGAAAATGTAATGTACAGATGTTTCTACAAAAATGTTCCCCTCAAATATCTCGTGAACCATTGCAGATATTGAGATACAGTTTTCAGTGAAAACCATTGTAAGAAAAGGGCACATAAGAAACTGTAAAATATTGTTGTACAAACATTTTTATGGTAGAGTTATCAACACCTTGGTTTGTAAATGGAACTCCATAGATTCCTTTAGTTCATGGTAACAAGCCTGAAGTGATGAGTTTGGAAGAATCAGTGGCGGAACCAGGGTTTGAGGCCCCAGGGGTTATTAAATAAAAATAAAATATAATTACTGTGTTCAGATCTTGTCGCATCCGAAACAGTATGAACATACTTGTAGATTTTTTTATTCAAGCGAAAAATAAAAAATATTTGAGGGAGTCTCTGAACCGAAATTGTCCCCGACCCCCTTCCCAGAAATACTTTTTGGACCCACCCTTGATCAGGGTAAAAATTGACAATTTCTGCAGAGGTGGGTTCTAATAATGCTCTCAGGAATGCCTTGTTCAATTTTTCTGATTTGGATTTCTTCATTTGAACTCTCTAGTTTGGTGTAATTCATAAATGCGACTCCTAATATGAATTAATAGTATTGATAGTATGAAACTATTAATACTTCAGCAGCCCCGCCCCCACACACAATTCGTTTCCTGTCATAAGTGTGCATATTGCACTACATTATTTACGTACATTTGGGATATTTGAAATTTTACAACGCACGTAGTCCAATTTTTTGCCAACACGGGATGAAACAAAGATGACTATCCAACAACAAAATTAAATCAAAATCGATGGAGCCATTTTTTTGAAAATGTCCCAGGGGCCCACAACAGGAATTCTGGCTACACCAAGTGTTAGATGATTCCCCCTAAATTTAGCAACTGGATTTATCTACTTTTTCGTTACCAGGACTCTGTAATAAGAGTTTTTCTGCTGAAAATTCGCCCTTTTACCACGCAGCATTTCATAATAATTTTTGTACATTTGTAGCCTCAGAAGAATAATTCCTGTAAAAAGTGTTTACTGCAATTTTTCAATTTAGTCGCAGAATGTTTATCACCGCAACCTTCTGCACATGCACAAAACTGTACGCTGTAAGCTTTTTTTGCTGCAGGGCGACGACCAACTCAACAGAAGAGAACGACTTCCCAAGATGAAGTACATTTACGAGAATTGTGTGGGTCTCATTTTTGTTGAAAACTGATTTTTTCGAAAATAGCAAAATTTTTTCGACATCTTTCTACAACTACAATTATGAAGACAAATGTCTTCCCTTAATGAAATCTGTTCCTTGAAGATATATCTTGAACTAAAGACGTACAATTTTTCAAAAATTTGAGTACTTTTCGCGTCATTTTGGATGATTGCATTTAATAAGTACGTGCTGTTTTAGCACCACTAGTGAAACGAGATAGCCTGTGTTTTAGGCATTTCCCATTACTCCTCCCTGTCGTTAAAGAACACGACAATTTGCTCAAATTTCGCAGTATTCATTTTAAATATAAAACCTTGCAGCTTAGAGATAGGCTGGGATCATGGCAGTTGGTAAATTCATGATCCGTAAGTCTGCCGAGTATAGTATGCATAGTCAGCGAGCGCCGGTTTCGAAACCTCCCTGTACCGGACGCGCTCGTCCCGTTCATGAATCATGGTGCAAGGACTCCTTGCACCATTGTTTCACAACACATACGAGGCCAATGCAACGAAAGAATTACAAGGGAAAATTATATTCGTCTATACATACGACCTCGCTTTTCTAGGGATGATTTCAAAATTTTAGTCGTCGTTCTTTATAAAAACTCGAATGTTTAACATGGGGCAAGATGCTTATGAATGAACTTGTTCCATCACATAAATCATGGGCTAAAGAAATCTTTGGTTCCGTTTTAAAATGATACTTCTGCAACTAAAAATGCCTATCAATGATATACAGCTCATGTCCCTCGCAAACATTTGAATGAAAATAGCATCCCAATATCTGCAACTGTTGAGATATTTGAGGGGAATATTTACTATATAAATAATACATTCTGAGTGTGTAACATTTATTTTTAAAGGGTATTTTATTTGAAAGCAATAATTACTGCCTACTAAAATTGGTTTAATTATTAATCAAGGTGCAAGAATTGCTTATAGGCCCTTCCGTTGAAAGAAAAAGTTTTTTAAATATTGTTTCACAGTGTAGAGCTTTTTAGTACCTGGCTCCGAGTTTGTTAAAGTTTTCCATGCAATATTAGATATTAAATTGAGTGACATAACACCCACCTTCAGGAAGTAATCTGATTATTTTGTAGAGCAGGTCATCAATATCATTAACCATGAAAAGAATATTGAAGAAAATCAGTGCTTAAAGATCAATAATTCAGGGCAAATTCAAAAAACTTCAATACCCTTACTTTGTGCTAACATTCTTGCATTAAGCTATTCAATTGAAATTGTAATTTATTTTTCTTGATAGCAACCAATTGCAAACATTTTTTTTGTATAGAATCATATTTTAGTAGATTTTATTCTCCTTGAAATATTTTATTTGGTATTTCCTTTCACAAGACTGAAATTTGTGAACCTTTCAATCTCCAATACACGTTTTCTTTAAAGTGTGAGCACCACTATATCTTCAAATCTCTCCAAAACAGAATTTGCTTAAATCAGTTCTCAAATTTTTAAGGATTTCTAGACCTATTACAATTAGCACATAGTGTTGTTAGAAAAACATCTTGAATTGCTTGAAATAATAACAAACACCTTAGAATGCAGAGTTTTCAATATGGCAATACTTGATGTATTGTGCTGGATTCCAAGAAAGGAGAATCCTTAAACTATTCTACTAAATCTCTGATAGTTTCAACGAAACATACCAACCCATGGCAACAACCTCAAGTTGTCCAAAATCGCATGATCTTGTCACATCTTTACCATCTTTATGAAATCACTTTGTAGTCTCGAGAACCACTGATTTAGTCCCATCTTTCCACTTCTTTGGCAATGACTAGTTACTGCTTCCTTCAGATTTTCCTCTGTTTCTGCTTATTTTGCAGTGTCATTTGCAAGCAAAGATATTCAGTCCAAACTTTCAACTTCCCTACTGTCTTTACAGCTTTTCCTATGATTATACAGAAATAGTGATTTGTTAAAAACTCAAGACTTTCCCGCCCAGGATAGTTTTCCTCAGAGTGAGCAGAAATATGAAACTGTAACAAAACATTGCTGAAAGAGCTACATTAGAATATGTCTAACTGTGGTAATCGAGTTGTAATAAAATGACATGGTCGCAATAAGTTGGGAGAAATAATTCTTAAAACCAATTATTTGCTTATACTCCATGTAATCTTTTTGATAAAAAATTTTACAATTTGATTAATTTACACCAATCTTAATTGTAAAGAAACTGACATAAATGTGATAAAGAAGCAAGCTGAAGAATTGAATGACTAATTCAACAATATAAACTAATCAAGTTTCCCCAGAATGAATGCTAACTGTTTATTGCCTTTGAGGAGAAGAGTATGAAAAATATGAAACATTGAAATATGTTACACTATCTACAATTAAGCAACTTGCTGTTTTATCTAAATCCCTTTGAATTACTTTATTATCATCTGCATGGGATCACATACGTTTGATAGTATAAATTTCTATAGAATTTATTAGAAAGATAATTAAAAAGCTTAGTAATTAAATTGATATATGCCATTGGTCCCTATTGCATGTAAATATACAACTTGGAAACTCAGAGCAATCTTTCATTCAAACACATCTTAAATTGTGAACATAAGTGTTGAGTAATTCCATGCTGATGATAACTGATACTAAATTGAAATGCAGTTCATAAAATTCAATACACCATGGTAATACCACTTGTCTCTGTCTGTATACCACAAGTTTTTTTTTTTTTGCTTTTTTTTTTGTTTGCTTCTTTCTTTTTTTTTACAAAGAAATTTAAGTTAACTTCAGTATCTTTTCTTTAATCTATATAAAACGTCTTTTTACACTACATGTTCATCTGAAGTAAAATGCATCTGGAAACTAAATTATGAACATTATGCCACCTGTGCACAATTTCAATGTATGCACTGTAGGTGGGGAAAGTCTGGAACACATATGCTACGCGATATATTTTGGGGTTGGTTGAAAAACGCTGTACACAGTTTCTTGAGCAAACTGGAAAGCTAGATTGAGTAGCAATGCAATGTCATTAACAAAAAAACAGGTAACTAATGTAATGCACTCAAAGGAAATAATCTGCTTGAGGCTTTTTTGAAGGAATTCCTCTACTTTCTTGGGGAGCAGCTTCAAATATAGTAAAGTCACGTTGTAAATGTTCATTTAATTCTAAGATTGCTGCAACATTGCCACATCTGAAAAATGTCAAATTTAGAATATTATCATTGACAAAGTAGTCAAGAAATTCATACACAATTAACACTAAACTTACCGATAACAATAGTTTGGAGCAGACCAAACAGTTAGGACAGTTTCATTGAAATGCCATTTGTATCCTTCCATTACCAGTTGATGTGCTCGACAGATCATATCAATATCATTGGCTGCATTGAATTGCGACACAACATCGGATCCAAATAGGTAGCCAGCACCCCGTGGGCTTACACCCCAACCCTGTGTGTCTAAACATTCAAATCAAGTTTTTTATAATAAAAATTGCAATATTGCATCAGTAAATAATCCAATTTTTTTTTTAAGAATGGATCTTAATAATCACCTATTTAAGAAAAAAATTATGCAGCTAATTAAAGTTTTTCAGAGGAAGAAAGAAGAAGAGAGAAAAAAAGAGAAGCACTTATTAAATAATTGTCACTGTCATAAAAGACTTCCAGTGAAATATGAAAGTTTTTAACTAGTAACATTCTCCAAAAAAAAAAAAAAAAAAAATTTACATCTTGGAATTGCTTAAATTTCTCTATGTGATCTCATAAGATTAAAAGTTATAATTAAAAATTCTAGATTTAGTTGTTCCTAACTAGTTTCAGATGCTTATGTACACTATGTGATAGCATATATTTAAGCAAATCGGATTAAAATTCTTTTAATAAATACCTTCAGGGTCAGACCACAGAAGATCGCACATTGGACCATCATGAGGTACTTCTTGCTTCCTATCAATAGTGCGGATCTGGTCCAACGTTTGAATTGACGGGGAAAGCCCACCATGGACACAAAATATCTGAAGAACACACACAATTGCAGTTATATTAATTAATAATAATAATTATACACTAACATAGGGCTCCTTTAACTTACCTTTCCATCAATAATTGCAGATAAACTTAAGTAATCAAAAATCTCTGTGCAGTATCTCCATACAGTAATACTTCCATACTTCCTCAAACATTCATCGTAGAATCCATATACTTGAGTAATTTGTCGAGATTCATGATTGCCTCTTATTAATGTGATACGGTCAGGATATCGTACCTAGAAAAGGAATTTTAAGATACCACAATGCTTAACACAATATGTAAAACTATTATACATGTAACTTGAACTGCTAACAACTTTCAACTTACTTTCAATGCTAACAGTAAGAGAAAGGTTTCCACACTATAAAAACCTCTATCTACAAAGTCCCCCATGAAAAGATAATTCGTTTCCGGGACATCACCACCTACTTTAAATAATTCCTTTAAATCATAGAACTGGCCATGAATATCACCACAAACCTGAAAATGTGGTAGATATTACAATTCTTATTTTCATTAAAAACAAAGAAATAACACTTAGATTTCTATTTAGGTACAGGACACTTACTGTAACAGGAGAATCAACTCTTTGAACATTGCTTTCCTCCACTAATATCTCTCGTGCTTTTGCACATAGTGCTTTCACTTCCGATTCCTTAATAATATCACATTTCTTTAGTTGTTCTATTTGTCGATCAAGATCACTTGTTTCGCTCATCTCTGCAGATTCTAGTCATAAGAGGTAACAGCATTATTGCAGGAAGTTATACAAATTCACATAACCTTGTCAAACTTCCAACGAACCCACATCTCTTTAGTTCTCTAACTAATATCAAAACATACAAAACAATTTCAATGCACACATTTAAACGGGCGTGTACACGTACACAATTTTTTACCTGTTTATTTCCAGTGAAATAAGAAAATTAAAACAGCTCTCAAACAGTCAGTAATGTCAGAAATACTGTACGTATCTGTACACCATTACTATCCCAGAAAGCCCCACTAATGAAAAGTAAAAAGTCCAGATGTCTCGCTATTGGCCGATTCAAAGACACTCACCAATCAGAATACACATACAAGTCGGTGCCTTCTATATATTTTCTGAATTAAATGTGTATCCTATATAGCATTCCATACACAATTTTCTAATTAAATTCGATACTGTTTAATACTGTTTTAAAAAAGTCCCCTCTTAAATTTTTAGTGGTTGATATTCTTTTAGTTTCCAAGTAAAAAACATTTCTAGAATTCAGCAATATCTCGATGTAAACAATGAAGCGCGCAGGCGATCAATAAGGCCATGAGGCTTTCGTGGTTCTGAAGCATCACGGGAAGGCATCGCAGCGGCATCAAGTTGTAGTGATCTGTCAGTGCTATTATTTTTAATACTTTTTATGATGAAGTGTTGATATTTTGTGCACTTGTGCTGTGTAGATAATCAATAGATATCTTGTGCGTGTCAATCAACATTTGGATTACATCTATAATGGGAAATATATACACCGTGGGACCAAATGAGGCACTAATAGTATCAGGCAAGTTTAACTTGTAAATTCCTCATTAAATCAGTAACATGTATTTGATGTGTTGACCGATAATTGTGTAATAATACGGAAAGTGTAATTTTATAAGTATACATTTTTCGTTTTTTGATAATGTGTTCATGTCCACACGCATTTGTAGAGTATTTGCTATTCATTGTACTGTGGAAAATGACTGGATGTTTATTTTGTTTGCGACTCGATAGAAAAAGTGTCAGTGCTGAAGATTAACAATATGTTTGAAGGAAGTATGGTTATTAATCTCTTTGTAGAATTTTCGCTGAAAGCGCGTTTCACATAATGGGGAAACTCATATGGACGGAGTAAGTTTTGACAAGTTTTGTCCGTTATTTGATACAGTTTCCATTAACTCTGGAATTTAAATATTCTGTGAATGACTAATTTTTATCAGACCGCATCTGTAAGTACCGCAGGTGAGGATGTTACAATACCTGTTGGGGCAGTAAAATGACTGCAAGAAGCGGTAGGTTCGAAAGGGGATTTCAGGGCGCAGACTTCATCTGTGTTTCTGGTTTGATTATTGATGGTTCAGATCGGTTTCATTGCTTGTTTCCGAAATGGAAGGGTTTGTCTGACACATTTCAAGTGAATATTGGATTTCTCTCTTTAAAACTTTAATCCATTACGTTTAGGATAGTGATTAATAATTGTAAAAGAAACGAGTCACCGGTGTCTCATGTGTCTGACCCACTTATCACGAACTTCGTAATAGCAAGTGATTTAGATCGTTTACATAGAAAAGGAATGAGTTAACATTTAGTTAGCTGTTGATGACGGTGTGTGTGTGTGTGAGAGAGTAAAAATTATTGAACAATGAGAGCTGCACGTGACGTGAGACCTGTTGACTTATCCTTGGTCAACAATAATAATGGGGAATTATTTCTTCTGGATGTTCCTCCTTAAACACTTAGTTTTGAAAGTTTAATTTTTGAGGTTTCATGTACGTAAACTGCACCTTAATGCTGACTTTCATAATGCAAGTAAATGTTTAATTATTATTTAACAGAAATATAGAATTTAACGCTAAATTGTCTGTTTGAGCGCATCATTTACGGTTAAATTTCCGAATAGGTTGGGCACAATTCGACTTTTTTGTTTGTTCAGCCTTTGTCTCGTGTTTTTCTGTCAAACATCTTCAGGATGTGGCTGTGGAAGAAATGATAGAGCTGCATCGAATCTCTAAAAACAATTAAGTATTTCACCCCCTATCATTACCATGTCATTTAATCTTCAGTTATTATAACGTCAAATCTAATAGTGGTCGCTAATGACCTAGATGTTGATACAATCTTAAATAACAAAAAAATATTGTAAATAGGAATTCTTTTCTCGTATTGTAAAATATCACGTCCTTATTACAAGGTTCTATCCAACTTTGAGGAACTTTCACAAAATGACAAAATTATTAAAATTATCAAGCTAGAAAGACATTTTTGTAATTGTGTGCATGCACGTGGACATGGGCACTTCTGACACTTAAAATTGGGGCTGGGGGTGGGGGACTGGGAAGTGATTTGAATTGTAATACCTACTGTAATTTTAGAGTAAGCCAGGATTATTGAATGATTTAAGTATACTATGTACGAACATTGATTGTAAAAGGATCTGTTTTGTTAGTTATTACTAAATTCAATAATATACTCTGACAATAAATTTAGAAAAATATTCAACACGAAGAAATATCCACACATACAACATAAGCAATATATTACCTACATACCAATTTTGTGCTGCTGATTGCACCAAAGATTGTGTGATGGTCACTAGTTGGTATAAATCCGGCGATAACACGTTTAAGTTAAAGTCTTGAAGGTACATTATTTTTTAAACACGTATTAGTAGACTAAGAAAATGGGAGCCCTATGGTACGTGCTTTTGCATGAATCCACTCCTGTGATATCGTTTACATTAATGGCAAAAATTGAAATTCGAATACATCTCCTGGATGTTCTTGAATAATTTTTGTCGAAGGGGGCGTGACCTCCTCGCCAGCGACGCTGTGCATGGCGATTTGAAACGTGCCACTAAAATGGGATAATTGGCAGTGAATGTGCTTCCGGGTCCATCCGTTCGTTCGTTGCTCCGCTTTTTAGAGTCTTGCTTCACCTCATCATAGTGTGTTTTTGGGGCGAATAATGGAAGCCTGGCCGTGTTTTCCAAAGAGCGTCGAGCACTTGCACATCCGCGAACCTGCGTCTGATGCGTCCGTCATTGTCGCTTGCGGCGTGGTGTCCCTACCCACGCGACCTTCCCTCTATGTTACGAAACGTAATCATGACAGGACGGCGCGCTGCGCCGCAGAGGCGAAGCGAGACGAGATGCCAGAGTGCCCATGCTCGCTGCTGGTCCTTGGCGGGTGGGATCCGAGGTAGTTTTCGTGCGAAAATGCGAGTAGGTGTGCGGGGACCTAAATTGCGCGAAGACAGTTGCATCTACATTGTTGGATACGTAAGACGTACAGAAAAATGTATGAATAATAAGTGTACATCATTTCGCCATAAGATGTGCTCCCGTTAAGTTTCCATTCTGTCAGTTCGAGTATTGCCTCGATTCGTTTACAAATCCGCATAGTTGTTTTTGCGAAAAGTAAGCAAAGGGTGCGCATTTCCTTGGAAAATTTATGTCCATAGTTACCAAAGCGAAACAATTTTCATCAGCTGTTTGTATCAGTAACGGAAAAAAAGTCGCATAAAATATTGACTATTTTCCAGAGCTTAAGTAGTAGATTCTATTAAACACATGGACGAGCTAAATGTCAAGTAAAATGGGTCTTTTGCGAAGGATAATTTTTATATGATAAGGAATTCTAAGGAAGAGAAATATTTCATAGTAATGATACCGAAGTATTGCGTGTTCATGTTTTGATATTGGTTAGAAAATACAATTGTAATTTTTGACGTACAGTTTTAAATGAAATAGTTTCCGTTAGTAGCCCTTCCTAGTGCCGCCTTTGGGGGATGGTGGCCTTCACGGTGCAAAGCCTGTTATGGGGTGAGGAGACGGAGAGAGAACGGGTACAATTACAGAAATCAGTGTTTTTAAAACGAAGCACGCTGGAACAAACGTGGATGTTCACAAAGAGAATGAAAGATTTTTACCTATTGATTCATAAGAAATGAACTTTTCTTTCACCGAATGAAATTCCAAGAATCGATAACGAAATGAACTTAAAAGGAAACTAATAAGTCATTTTTAAATTCGACAAGAATCGATTGGTCTGTTTTTTTTTATCTATCATTAAGGGAATATATATATATATATATATATATATATATATATATCAAGTCAGCATTTTAAAGCATTTAAAGTACTAGGAAAGAGAATGAATGAATTACTGGTTCAAAATTTTCATTATATCTCTAAATAATAGAAAAAGTCCACATATTAGTGATCTGATGAATTATGTTCTGTTGCTCATCTTACCACGTAGTATATCAATATACCATGGAATATAAAATTTATGGAAATTAAAGAAATACGAAGATATTATTAATTGTATATGATATTTACATTTTACAGTACACACCTTTTAATATAAAACTATGGGCCACTTCCATAACTTCCAAATAGTTCGCTCAACAATACGGAATCATGGGGGCAAGTAAAATGCTGTAGAGATTTTGTTTGAAATATTTTGAGTTTGCGAGAAATTTAATTCTATTAGATTTTTTAAATGGGATGATAATTTTTTCTCGACAGTAATTGATAAGAGGAATACATGCATGTATCGTATGTTAATATTTTGATAATAATACGAGTTTAAAATTAGACTTTCTGACGTGTGATTTTAAATTAAATGGATAATATTTCCTGTATTACACGCGCACGTTTTCTTGAGCCCCGAAATATCTATCTCTACTCCTTCGCGAACATTAGTTGAATTAAGAATAAATAATAACAATAATAACAATTTTGTAGACAAAATCTGATAACCAGAAATGTCCTCTTCCATGTAATAGAAACTATTTTGCATGGAAAAACGAACGAATCAGTTAGATATAAAATTCCTTTTGTGAAAATAACTTAAATGCCCATTCACAATGCAAACATAAACATAAGCATGGCCTTAACACAATAGTTAGGACTACGTCCATAAGTGGACTCATTTACAATGTGTTCGCATAAGCATAACACGTAAGACGTTAAAAGATTGCGAGCTTCTGTGCTGAAGCTTAAGTTAGACATAAGAAATGAACCAATCACAGAACGGTAACTCAAAATCGAGAATCGAAATTGGAGGGAAGTTAATAGAACTAACGCCATATGTGCCATGGACACAGTCGAAATCGATTCTCACATCTAACCAGTAGGAAACTAGAATGTCTCACAACCAATGGAAATTCTTATTTTGCTTACGTTTGTCATAGACTGAAGTATTCACAATCTCTTATGTTAATGTTCACGTCTATGCGTTATGGTTATGTTTACGTTTGCATTGTGAATGGGCCTTAACTTCCTACTCCTCTCGCAACTAGCGAAGCGAGGGGTCAAGAAAATGTGCGGGTAAAAGCA